TTTGATTTCCGGGGGGCAAAGATCCTGTCAGGGGAAGAGGAGGGGGTCTTTGGCTGGGTCACTGCAAACTACCTCCTGGAGAACTTCATCAAGGTGGGCAGGGGACAGTGACACACAGCAGGATGGCTGTGCTGGCTGGGCTGTCCCACAGCTCATCATATCCTTATGCCCACTCTTGTCTTCCTGGCTCAGCGTGGGTGGCTTGGAGAATGGATCCAGCCTCACAGGAAGACCTTGGGGGCCATGGACTTTGGGGGTGCTTCCACACAGATCACCTTTGAAACCCAGGACACCATTGAAAACCCCAAGAACGAGGTGATGCTGAAGCTGTATGGCCAGGTGTACAAAGTGTACACCCACAGCTTCCTCTGCTACGGGAGGGACCAGGTCCTCAAGAGGCTGTTCTCCAAGCTCCTCCAGGTACCGCATGTGCTTGATGTGGATGCTGGCTGTCACAACGCCACAGGTGCCCCCTCACCCTGGTGTTTACACTGGGGTGTCCCCCAGGCCTGAGCCAGCTGGGTTTCCCAGCCAATTCTTCAGTTTTTCTCCAAATCCTATCCTGTGTTCCCAGGGCTTCCATCCACCATCTCCGTAAGGTGATGCACCCCTTGACTAGAGCCAAGACACCCAAAGCCACCTTGAGACACGTGTGGCAACTGCTCTGTGTCTCACTGCTCAAGCTCCAGAGGGAGCTGGAGCTATGATACAGCTTGTGCATCCTGTGTGTCCCTCCTCTGGCAGGCTGAGAGCTACCACGGAACTGTCCCCAATCCTTGCTGGCCCATGGGCTACAACAAGAGCCTGTCACTGAGTAGCATTTATGACAGCCCCTGCACGGAGAAGGAGAGGCCAAACCTTGTCCTCAACACCACCATCACCTTGGTTGGCACCGGGAATGGGAATCTCTGTGCTCTGCACGTCAGCAAGCTCTTCAACTTCACCACCTGCTCCTTCTCCCACTGCTCCTTTGATGGTGTTTTCCAGCCGAAGGTTTCAGGAAACTTCATTGTAAGTCCTGGCCCGAAGCAGGGTGGTGACCCAGCTGCTGGGTGGGTAGGTTGTCCCCAGCACCCCCAGCATCACATGGTGGCAAAGCCAGGCCCCCAGCTCTGCAAGGGCGGTCGTTCGTGCTCACCACACCAGTCAGTCTCTGTTCAAGGTTAGAGAAAGAGCCTGTCCCACAGCTGCTCCCTTCTCTCCATCAGGCCTTCTCCGCCTTCTTCTACACGGTGGACTTCATCCGGACTGTGATGGAGAGACCTGTGCACCTGCCCAGTGACCTGAAGGACGCTGCAGAGACCATCTGTGCCACCAGCTGGAGTGAGGTGGGTTCCCTGGGCACAGCAGGGAAGAGGGGACTGCTCTGTGGGGAGCATAACCCAGGCTCTGAGAGCAGCCCTTGGAGGGGGCTGGGTGTCCTGGCCCCCATGGAGTAGGGGTAAGGCAGGTGACAGCTCCCACATGGGACCAGGAGGGGCTCAGGTGGGTATGGGCAGCCTTGGCCTGACAGATGCAGCCACCCAGAGCTTCAGGCCACAGACACAAGCCTGGCCCCTGCTGGCTTGACCCCTCTTCTTCCCTCTGTGCACCCAGCTACTCCAGAAAGCCCCCAAGCTGGAGAAGAGGCTGCCAGATTACTGTGCTGTCAGCACGTTCGTGTATTTGCTCACCACCAGAGGCTACAACTTCAACAACCACTCCTTCCCCAATATCGCCTTCCAGAAGAAGGTGAGTAGCACCAAAGCACATCTCCATTCCATGGGATCTCTTTGGAGTTAGGCAGGAGATGATTCCACACCAAGAAAGAGCCAAGCAGAGTGAAGGAAGATCTTGGGGAACAGGGGCAGGACAGAACTCTCAGTTTTTGGTTGGATCTCCTGGAGGATGGGAAAAAAAATGAGCCAAGCTTGTTGTAGGGTGAGGTGAGGTCCTTCAGCCCTTCCTTGGCCCTCAAGACACCAGCCATCTCAAACTATGCTTTGCTTAGGCTTTTTGGGAATTTACCTCAGGGCAGGATCCCACTTCTGGCTGCATGCACCATGGGATGGGCAACAAGATCAGGACTGAACTGAGCAGATGAGGTTCTGCTCCCATGGGATAAGCCCACTTAAGCACAGGATGGTCACTGCTCTGTTCCTGGGCTAACTGGATCCATGGGCAAGCAAGAGTTCAGGGTGTTCTGGGCTCCCCCACACCCTTCTCCTCCCTTGGGCTGACAGTGAGGTGGTTCCTGAAAAGGCTAGAGCACAACTCTAGTGAGGACTGGCTGAGGGAGCTGATGGGGCTCAGCCTGGAGAAAAGGAGGCTCAGGAGGGGACCTTTTAAGAGCTATGTGAAAGGAGGGTGGAGTCAGGTACGGGTTGGGATCTTCTCCCAAGTAACAAGTGACACGACAAGAGGAAACAGCCTCAAGTTGCACTAGGGGACGTTTTGGCTGGATTTTAGGGAAAAGCCCTTCACAGAAAGGGTGTTAAGGCATTGGAACAGGCTTCCCAGGGAAGAAATAGTCACCATCTCTGGAGTGATTTAAAAGACATGTGGATGTGGCACTTGAGGACATGGTTTAGTAGTGGCCTTGGCAGTGGTTGGACTCCTTGATCTTAGAATCATGGAATCATTAAAGTTAGAAGAGACATCTAAGATCTCCTGAGGCCCACAGAGCTGGGCTGGCTGGCTGGCTGGGTGACCATGCCATGCTTTTTCCACAGGCAGGAGAAACCTCCATTGGCTGGGCCCTGGGCTACATGCTGAACCTCACCAACATGATCCCGGCAGAGAAGCCCTCCTCCCACAAAAGCATGTTGTACAACCACTGGGTCATCCTCATCCTGCTCTTTGTGGTCACCACCCTGACGACCCTGGTTACTGCCGTATGTCTGCTCCGGCGCAGTAAGTCCAGTGCGATCTGACGGTGGGGACAGCGTGGGCCGTGTCTGCAGGACCCAGCACCATCCTGCCTGCTGGAGTCTCCATGGTCTGAACACCTGGGATGCAGCAAGTGCTCAACGTCCTCCTCCAAGGCCTGACACTGTCCCAGAAGGAAAGCTGTCCCCTTTTGCCCTCCCCTTGCCCTCAAGCTGCAGGAAAGGAGGGACAGAAGAGGAAGGGTTTCCCAGCACTACTCAGGGATGGACGCAGGAGCAGGTTTGGGAACGGGATATTCAGAGGTGGGACATCTTTCTGCCACCAGAGCTGAGTTGGACTGGGCCAATAAGCGAAGGCGACAGCAGGATTTATTTTCATTTGTATGAGAGTGGGTGGGGAATATTACTTACACCAGTCTTTACAGCTGACCTTGCTAGCCTGTCCCTGGAGCATCAGCCCTGCCTCCTGGGGAGCTCTAGGCAGCATCCAGAGCCCACACTTGTCCTTCTGGCCTGCACACAAAACCACACTGACCTTCCTGAAGGCCAAATCTTGGCCTAGACTTCCACTGCTCTCAGCAACCAGATGTGGGGAGCCAGCATCTTCCAGGTCCCCCTTCAGCAACCAGACATCGTGCCTTCCCCATCCCTGTGGTTCCTATGCCAGACTTGCCTTTGCCACCTCCATCCCCTGGTGCCTGCAGCTCTGTGGTGCATGTCCATGACAGCGCAGAGGCCATGGGCTCGCTTTGGGAGCCAGACTTTGCTCTGCACTGGGATTTGAGCCTACCATCACCCTATGCCAGGCAGCTGGGAGGATGCATCTTCATTTCCATTTAAGAACAGGGACATGCAAACATGAAGAAGGTTTGATTTTGTCTGTTTGGTTTTTTTTTTTTTTTTTTATAATCTGAAATAAACCTTTGTAACCACTGCTATGGCTTGGTGGCTCCTGATCAGCAACAGGCAGATCAACCTGTCAGAGCCAGGGTCAGGGTCTGCCTGAAGGCCTTATCCCTTGCAGCCCAACCAGTGCTGGGACACTATCACGACTTGATTTCTCTATTTGTACCAGCCTGGAGACCCCCAAAGATGGACTGAGGTGGGCTGGAAACCTCACTCCAGTCTAAGGCCCACCTGGAGATGGAGGAGTGCCAGCCAGCCACAGTCATCAAGTTCAGGTTTCCCCATCACTGCAGATGCAGTCCTAACTAGGTAAACTGGCTGCTCTCGGTGGATGTCCAGCTGATTCAGCTGCATCTGAATTTCTTAGAAGAGGAAATGCAGTCTGGATTCTGGAAAGTACCTGGGTTCTTAGAGCAGTGTTTCAGCTTCAGGGACCAGAAGTGCCTCTTCCTTCCGTGTGAGATGTGGAGATAGACCCTGAGCCTCACTCCACCACGGGGTGAGGGAGATGAAGGGCCTGGGGAAGAAACTTGGGTTTGAGAGTTCAGAACATCATCTGAACTGGAATCAGGTTTGCCCTGTGCAGAGAGATGGGGAGCAGCCAGTGGAACAGCTGAAAATAAAGTGTTGCTGGGAATGGGTGGGTTAAGTCAAGCACAGTGTTCCAGGAGCTTGGTCAGAGCAAGGAAGGATGCTGGGAAGTGAGCAAACCTGCAAATCAGAGCTCGTGCTGCTAGCAGGAGCATGGAGGGCAGCGAGAAACCACAGCTCCCTATCCCTCTGTGCATGGGATTTAAGACAGTACCATATCCTTGCCAACTAGTTATGGATCTGGATGGGCAACCTGGGACTGGCCAGATGACATGCCCTGGCCAGTGCCAGCACCACAGAAAGGGGCCCTGGGCACATGGTCACCCCTGTTGCAGAGGAAAAGGATACCCCAGAGGACACCCAGCTAGGGGGCTCAGCTCAGCCCTGTTCAGGTGGGTGGGAAAAGCCTTGCTGCTGCAGGCGTAGGGACATGGGGACTGGCTGGGCTCAGGGTACAGAAAGCACACAACAACAGCTCTGTCCTCACAGCTTAGCCCAGACCTATCTGTGTCTAGAGCCAGCTCGCAGCAATCCATGTGCCAATGGAGTGTGAGTGTCACCGTTCCCTTGGGGTGACGTTCACCACCTGCTCTGCCTGTCCCACTGCCGGCCTTTACCTCATCCACAACGAGCACCTTCAGTTCTTGACTTTTATTGTACCCCCAGTGCAATGTTCAGAGGCCATGGGGCAGGCAGCAGTGATCCCTGTGGTGCCTCCACCACACTCTCGCTGCAGGATCAAGTCCTCTGAGCTTCCAAACAGAGCCACCAAGCCCACCAGACTCACAGGCAGCATGGGCAGTGACCAGCTGGGCAGCAGCAGGGGCTGCAGCGGGACACAGGTACAGAGTGCTGTGCTTTGCTGGCTACTCCACCACATCCCCATACCCGTTCCTCCTCACCGGCAGTGCGGCGCTGTCCCTGTCCTCTGTGTTGAGTAGGTTTTCTGCAACAGAAAGTACAAGCTCCTTGGACCTCCAACTACCCTGGTGTGTTTGCCAAGGGTGGGCAGAGAACCACAGAGCCCTGGTGAAGTGTTTAAAGCCTCTTCAGGTGGGCCCAGCTTTGGGACCTCAAGGTGCTTTGGGAGCTCAAGGTACATGTGGGAGAGAGCAGCAAGCAGCCATGGGAACTGTCCAGTGCCTCTCTTAGTGCCTCTCCAGCTCTATCCACTCTACAGAGCAGCACATCTCTCTACACCTCATTGGCTCTCTCCATCCCTTACCCTCTCCTTCCTCTTCCAGCAGACAAGCCCTTCATGCTAGCTCGTGTGAATCCCCAAAGCAGGCAGGGCAGCAGTTAGCAGCAAGTGCACCCAGCCCACGTCTCCAGGCCTGCTCCGATACCGCTGTGCCCAGAGCACAGCGGGACATGGGAAATGAGATCAGATAGGGAGCTCCAGCCACCACACATCCTCCTGCTCCCATCCCTCGGCTGCAAAGTGCCAGTGTGGGACTTATACTGAGATTTTGGCAATTACACAGTCACCAGTTTAATTACGAGACAGGAACAGCAAACTCATTACTGCAGCAGCGAAGAACCAGGCACAACAAGCCTGGGGAAAGCAACAGGGAGTTGTGAACGTACCTGAGGGCTGAGATACCCCACCAGTCACGCTGAGCTCCTGTGGGGACTTGCCTGTCTCCAGGTAAATCCAGAAGTCGGAGCATTTCTGTGTCTCAGCTCTGGTTACCACATAGCTCGCGAGGGACCCTGCAGCTGGGGAGGCCGAGGTGCTTCTGAGGGTGCCACCAGCACCTTGGTGGGGACAACACCTGCTGCAGCTGCCCAAGACGCCTCCTGAACCGCCGGGGCGCCGGGAGGTGACCGGAGCTAGGGAAGAGCCCCCCACAACAAGGGCAAACACCTGTGTGTCCGCAGCACCAGCCGGGCCAGGCACTCACCCGCGGCCAGCAGCAGGCTCCACTGCGGGCTGTACGGCAGCTTCTGCCGCGCCAGCTTTTGCACGGCGAAGGCGGCCCCGCTGCCTGCCGAAGTCGGGGACGGGGTTACTGAACACAGCCGGGCCGGCCCCGCTACCCCTGGGGAGCGGCTGGGGACAACCGAGGAGGGGGGCTGGACCGGGCTGTACCTGCCAGGAAGGTGCCGATGCCCTTCATGAACGCGTGGGACTGGCAGGCCGCGTACTGCTGCAGCGCCTGTGGGGACGCGTCAGCGCCGGGGGTTGGAACCCTGTCTGGCCCTCTCAGCCCCGGCCCCACCGGCACAGCCGGGTTCTGCCCGACCCCCTCAGCCCCGGCCCCACCGGCACAGCCGGGCTCTGCCCGACCCCCTCAGCCCCGGCCCCACCGGCACAGCCGGGCTCTGCCCGACCCCCTCAGCCCCGGCCCCACCGGCACAGCCGGGCTCCCCAGCCCGTCCCCCGCAGGGCGCACCGGGTGCTTGGCAGCCACATCATCCTCCACCCGCCGCAGCCCCAAGTTCACCATGGCGGAGCTGCCGGTCCCGCTCACAGCCCCGGGCGGACGCGCCGCTCGCACCCGCCCCTTCCGGCGCAGCGATGGCGGAACCGTCCGGGCTCTTCCACTTGCTGCGAGCCGGGCCGGGCCGGTTCCTCTGCTACTGCCGGCCCGGTGGCGCCGTCTGGTGAGAGCGGGCGGGGGCCGGGAACGGGAGCGGGGCCGGGCGGGGGTCGAGCAGCCCCGGCCTGAGCCGCTGCCTCCCACAGTGTGACCGATGCGATGGAGGTCTGGGCCGCGGACCTCGGCGACTGTCCGGCGTTTGGCTGCGTACGTACCGGGGCCGGGGTCGGCGGTGGGGCTCGCGCCTGAGGCCCGGGGTGCCGGTGGGGCGGAGATGGACTCGGCCCGGGTTAGGCCGTGTCGGACATGCTCTCCTCCTCCTCCCTCTCTGCAGCGGTGTCCGCCGGAGGAGCACAGCGCGATGCTCAGGTGGGTGCCGCCGCCCCGACACCCCCTGTCCTCGGCTTCCCTCATCCCGGGCTCCCCTCACCCCGGGCTCGTCGTGTTTCCCACTTCCCTCGCCCCCTGTCCCTGCAGGGCCGCCCTGGGGCGCGGCACCGCTGAGCTGAGCCTGGGCCCGGGTTCGGCCACGCTGCGGCTGCCGGAGGAGCCGCGGTGCCCGGCCCTCGCCCTCGCCCAGCTACCCCCCGCCGAGGCGCGCCGCCAGCTGCAGGCGCTGGTGTTCGGCATGGCCGGCTGCATCGAGACCTTGGAGAGGCGCCTGGAAGGTCCGTGGTGGGTTTGGAAGGTGTGAGGACAGGGGGAGGGCCGGCATCTCCTGCCACCTTCATGGGATCGTCACCCCGACCCAAAGTGCCCCACATGCCCCAGCTCAGCCTTGTCCTCTCAGTGGGAGAGGGTTGTGCCTCCCGAGTATCACCTCAGGTGGTTTCTCCTCACCAGTCCCAGTGGGCTAGCAGCAGAGCTGCCGCCATCACTTCCCTGTTCAGCTGGCCAGTTCCTGCAGCTTCACCAGAGCCCCCAGGCAGAGGACAGCCCCCTGCCGGGGCCCGGAGGACACAGTGGTGTGTCTCTGTTTGGAAACAGCCCTGTCTTCATGGCACCACACCAGCATCCTGAATGTGGGAGTCACCTTACAGACATCTTTATTTGAGGAGTCTGGGAAGATTTTGGGGCAGCAGCAGTCTGGATGGGAGTGCTGAGCGAACAGGCCTCAGTTTGGCTGGGGAGGCTTGGGATGCTGCAATGCTGTATTGGGGTATGTTGTCACAAGCTTTGGCTCTGGCTCCTGTCTTAGCAGCCGTGGAGACACTGGCAACTTCCTGCAGCCCTCAGAAGAACTCTGCCCAGAGCCAGCAGCTCTTCCTGCCAGGTAGGCACTGCCAGAGGCACCTGCCCTGGTCCTGCTGTCCTGCTTTCTCCTTCCTGGAGGCTGCTGGTCCTGCGTTCATGTGCTCTTCAGGACACACCGAGTACCCTTGGCTGTGGCTGCTGTCAGGCACCTGCTGTCCTGTGCCCTTCCTGACAGAGCAGGGGCAGGGCTCACTGTGCTGGCTCTCGGGGTATCTGGGGTGCTCAGGTCACAGGCTGGTCATCACCAGCCTCAGAAGAAGGGCAGTCCTTCTAGACTGGGAGCCAGGGCAGGTCCATGGCTCCTTTGGGAGAGGAGGCCAGGCTTGGCCCTTCCTCACCCTCCATGGCTGCTGGCCCTACATGACTGGGCTGCTGGAAGCTCACCCTGGCCCTGGAGGGAGTGTCAGGGCTGATAGAACACCTGGCTGACCTGCAATCTGCATCCTGCCTATCCTCGACTGAGGCAGACCCCAGCCCCAGGAAGAACAGGGCTGCTGGCTCAGCTTTACCAGCCAAAAGGAAGGTCCCTGGGGAGTCTCTCATTAACCCTGGTTTCAAAAGGTCAGTGCTGGCTGCACGGGGACCCCATGGGCTCTGCTTGGGGCATGGGCTTGGGGCTCTGATGCTCCCTCCATCTCCTCCCAGCAAGAAGGTACCGTCTGGAGTGAATTTCGAGGACTCCTGACTAGTGCTGTCCTGTGCCCTGATGACAGCCCTGTGGAGCCCTATCAGCATGTGCATGGGTGGAGGAGAGGGTGTCCCTGTGTCCGGGGCCTGCTGAGCCCCTCGCACCCAGGGAGGCAACAGAGCCATCAGCACCTGGCAGTTGGCCCTCTGCTGGGGTGGTGGCAGGGCCTTTGAGGAGACAACAGTGCTTGCTTTCTCCCCAGCAGCACTTCTGGGGCAGGGGCCACCTCCTGACCTCATTTACCATGAATTGGTGAGGTTTGCAAGGAACTTTTTTATCACTGCAGAATAGAAAGATTGTCCGTGCTTATCTTCTTTCCAGTAAAAGGTGCTTTTAGCCAGCCGGTCTCTGCGGATGTGTCAGTGTATTCTGCCTCTCCCTTTCTCAGGAAGCCTTGGGCCAGTTTCAGCTGAACCTGGAGGTCCAGGGCTCAGAGAAGTTCCCTTCCCTGCCAGCTTTTTGCAAATGGGCTGGAGGATGCACTCTGCCTTGCACTGGGAGAGAGAGTGGAGGTCAGTGTGAAGCCCTGTAAGGAAGAGCTGCTGGTGTGGTCACCCCAGACTCATACTCGTCTTGCTTGCAAAGCCTTTATTGATTTCCAGGAGCTCTGAAGCTTGACTTGGGCTTGTCCAACTTCACAACCCCCAGATCTGCTTCTGAGAGCTTCCTAACTGCAGGTTCCGGGGGGTTGGTACCCTCTGCTCCCCTCACCCAGGGTGCTGGGAACTGGCCTGTGCCCACTACCTCTGCCATCCCCTGCCAGCTCTGTTCCCAGGACTCTCCGTGACTGTGCTGGGTCCCCTCACACAGTGAGGTGTGAGGGCAGCAGTGCCTGCTGCCCAGGAGCAGCTGGACCTTGGACCCTCATGAGAGGGTGGCATGGCATGCCCACAAAAGAGGCTGCAGGGCTGCCCTCTGCTCTGGGCAGCTCGTCCTCCGCAGCCCTACCCCTGCCCACAGCAGGGCCCAGCTTTGGCACTGGTGGTGTCCATGGTTTTGCGCCCTTGCCCCCAGTCCTGATGCCTGGGGGACCGCAGAGCATGTCCTGGCTGGGAGGGGGGATGGCACAAGAGGGGCTCAGCGCACCACAGATTACTGCCAGCATCTGAGTGCCAGGGGAGAGAATTTGGGTGCTAGGGGCACAGCTCATGCTCTGCTCTCTCAAGCGTGTGCTGGCAGGAATGGGGTGGGCACTGACCTCCTACCTGACCCCATCCCTGGCCTTGCACCCATCGGGGTGCGTACCCTGCTCACTGTGGTGCCCGGACCACGGAGCGATAGGCTTGTACAATCTCCTGGCTGTTGGGGCAGGTGTATTTGAACTCCTTGGTTTCATTGGCACTGTTGAGGTATCGCCACACGCCTCGCAGGTCCTTGGGGATCCCGAAGTGGCGGTAGTGCTGGCACACAACCTGCGGGCAGGAACAGCGGGAGCTGTGCCTGGTACTGTGTGCGAAGGAGGGCCCAGCTGCCAGGAAGGAACCAGCTGGAAAGGGTGGCGGGGGGCCAGGGGACATCCCCAGCACTGCACAGTTGAAGACTGGCACTTAGGAGGGAATGTAGAGGGGAGTGGGATCTCTGGGAAGGCACTTTGCTGGGCAGGGCTCCTGGGGAGAAGGATGCTAGAGGACACAAGGGCTGACAGCGTTTGTGAAAGGAGCAGGGATGGAGAGGAAAGTGAGACCATGGGACCAGTAGAATGGAGATGCCAGGGAAAGGAGAAGGGCAGGGTGCCAGAGTGCCGCTGCTTACCTGAACAATGTTGAGCTTGGGCAGCAGGTTGCAGTCGGCCAATGTGAGGTGGTCTCCATCGAGGAAGCGTCGCTGGGAGGCCCGGAGGTTGGGGTCCCGGGCCAGCTCGTGCTCCAGAGGGGCACACAGGTATTCATCCAGCTTCAGCAGGGCCCTCAGCAGGCTCCGCTGCAGCGCTGTGGGGAGGGCAGCTGTGTCATGGCATGGGGCTCCTGCTCTGCTATGGCACCCTGCCAGCCCAGGCAGCACCCACATTACCCACGCTGGCACCTGCTCCCACAGAGACCTGGCATTGACCCACGTAGGTGGGGAGCACTGGGGGCGCTTGGTGTGACCAGGATAGGCTTTGGGGTGGTGACACCTGAGAGGATGCATGGGGTGCTTCCCCACTCGCTCCTCACCCTCGTCCTGGGCAGGCACCGGGTTCTTGATGAAGGTGGAGAACTTGTGGAAGATGTCGTTCCCGGCCAGGCTCGACCCCCGGTACTGCGGGACCAGACTTGGGCACCTGTGGGGAGGTGGGCACAGCTGAGGCAGGTGGCAGGGGCCAACAGGCTCACATGCTGTCAGCCCCCTCCTCTCTCAGGCTGTCCTGCCCCTCTTTGGCCCCTTAGTCCTCTCAGGGCAGCGCTGGCCACTGACGTGGGGGGGCCCAGCTGGTCCTCCAGGAACTCCTCGATGGTCACAGTGTCAGTCTTGGGCTCGCCGTTGTAGAGCAGAACAGGCAGCTGGGCACCTGGCGCAAAGTCCTTCAGCACATCCAGTGCCCTGCAGGAGATGGGAAAACTGCTGATACCTGGCATGTGCAGGGCTCTGCTTGGCCCCGTGTATATGTGTGTGTGTGTGTGTTCATATGTGCATGTGTGTCCCAAGCAAAAGGGTGAAGTGGTGCCCCTAGGCTGCTCCTGCCTCCTACCTCTGTGTGTGCCTAGGGAAATGCACCAACCTCCCCAGTCAGCACTGGGCACCTGGGCGTACAACAAGCTCCATTCATGCCATAGTGCCCTTCACACACCCCTTCCCAAACTGTTGGGGACCTACCAGCCACCCACCCTGCCCATGGCCCTGGCCTGGGGACTGGCAACCCTTGGGAAGGGACTACCACTCACCTCTTTATGTCCACGGTGGTGAGGGTGAAGGGCACCCCTTTGAGGAGCAGCACCATGAAGAGCCGCTGGCAGAAGGGGCAGTGCCCCACACTCTCCCCATCTTCGCTTGCCTGTGGGCACAGATGGAGAGCTCAGCTGCCCCTTCACCTCAGAATGGCCACAGTGGAGGCAGCCCTGGGTGAGGGTAGCAAGGCATGTACCCCAGCCCAGCCTGGTGCTCCCAGGGCCTCGGTGCCACTCCCCAGAGCAGCTACGTGGCACAGCAGAGTGCTGGCCCTGGCACCCCCCAGGGAACAGGACCCCCAGGCTGTGCCAGCCTCAGAGTGCCAAGGGGGGCCAGGGCTTGGGGGAAGCAGCAGCAGGGGCAGCTGTGGCAGGGGACAGCCCAGTAGCAGGGACTGTTCGCCAAAGGAAGGCGACAGCAATGCTGATGGCCCAGCCACCCCCAGGCACAATCCCAGGCAAGCCCTGTCCTGCCTGGCACAGTCACACAGCCAGGCGGTGGTTGGGGAGGGCCTGGCAGGTGCAGGCAGATGCTGTGGCGCTGGGCTGCTGGCCCTGGTTTGTAAGGGGCATCCCAGTCCGACCTCCCCAGGCTGAGCCCTCAAAGCACCCCTGCCTGCAGGGTAGGCAGCAGCAGGCAGTGCTGTGAAGAGCCCTGCCCTCTGCCTGCCCCCCCTTGCCTGCCTGCTGCCCACTGCCCACCCTACTCTTACCTGACCACTACCTGCCACACTGCCTGTTGCCAGCCCCACTCTGTACCTGCTGCCTGACCCCCTGCCCATTACCTCTCCAAGTCCCCACATCTGGGCACTGTAGTGGGCAGGGCAGCCAGGTCGCCCCACTGCAGCGCTGCCAGGGGTGGCAGCCCCAGTGCCCACTGGCCTGAGGATTCCCCCTCACCTTGATGAAGAGCTGGATTTGGGGTTTCTCAGCCATGTTGGGTGGTGGCTGTCGGTGCAGTGCTGGCTGTACCCTGAGTGCCCCAGCTGGAGCCGCAGCCCATCCCAGCCCACATTCCTCCCCAGGGTGCACCCGCTCCCACCCACACCCGGCCCCACACCCTGCCATGGGGCCCCTGCACCGCGGCTGCTGCCAGCCCCAGGACGGTGAGGGAGACTGGTGGCATTGCCAGCTGCCACGCCTCCTGCCTGCACCCCCAGCCACCCCACCACCATCCAAATGATGCCAAGCACTGGGCACACCCTTGGGTTGGGCCCAGGACCCCTTGCCCATAGCAGGCTCCTGCGCCCCCACCCGGGGCACTGCCAACCCCCTCCTCAGCCTGATCCCTCCCAGGCAGCCAGACCCGGCATTCCCACCCCTCACCAACCACACAGCCTCACTGGATCCAGTTATTATTTTTTATTTAAAACGATCATTATTTTCACATTTCATCTTTGTTTGTTTGCTAGCAATGTACAGGCAGCTCCAAGACGTCCCCACCCCTCAGGGGCCCCATGCCTGGGGCTGAGTGTGGCACCGGCGCTGCGCCCATGGCTGGTGGCCAAGGACGTGCAGGGGGAGGCAAGGCTGGAAGTAGGGCCAAACTCAACCAAGTGAACAGTGTTAAGGCAGCAGCCACTCCTGCCCTGGGGGCATGCCCTGGGGCACTACCCTCCCACTCCCTCCCTGCTGCCACCCTTGGGGTGGCCCCAGCAGGGTCTGTGCCCAGGGCAGCCCTGAGCCCAGGGCAGGGAGACCACCGTGGCCATCCAGGCTGTATGGGCACCAGAGCACGTCCATTGACCATCAAAGCCAGAGGGATGATGGCATGGTGGCAGTGGGGAGGGCTGGGAAAAGGGGAGATGCTGTGACTGGGGTGCCAGTGCCCTTCCAGAGTCCTGAGCAACAGGGCAGTGTGGCAGGTATGGGGTAAGGACAAAGCCCAGAGCACAGCAGCATTGCCCACCCTGGGGTGCCCCAGAGTCCCACCACTGAAGTGACAGCTGGGGACTCAAAGGTGACACCATCCCCTCTCCCTGATGGCAAAGGGCAAGCCTCGAGCTTGCTCATCCCCCAGCACTCACCCAGGAAGGCAGAATGGGCCCAGCAAGGGAGTAAGAGCACACCAGTGGGGGCTGCCCCCATGTGCCATTCACTCCACCCCAGAACCAGCCAGTTTCCCATATGCCATTAAAAAAAATATGGTCTGAAAAATCTGAAAATAGAGATTCTCCCCCCAGTTTTCCCCCTATTGAAAATATTGTATATTGTATCACAATCTATAGCAGGTGGCATACAGGGTTGGTGAGACCAGGGGGGCATGAGGACAGTGGAGGTCAGGCCCTCCTCCTGTTCCCAAGTGGGACCAGAGGTGGCTCAAAGAAGCCTCCCCATGCCGTGTGCCCCACACCTCCCATGGCAGCCAGCTGAGGCGCCTGGTGCTGCTCAGGGCCTGCAGCCGAGCCCGGGCCAGGGAGGCAGAGAGGGCAGCAGAGCTCAGGAGCAGCTGGGCAAAGGTGCTCCCCAGGAAGGT